AGAACTACTAAATGAAAAATCAGAAACGAACATTTATTCTTTGAACAGTTCCAGCTGCTTTCCAGTATTGCCTCTGAGGTTTCAAGATGAGGCAAAGAACCAGATTAATATGTTCTATAATCATATATATATATACACACACACACACACACACACATATATATATATATATATATATATATATATATATTTTTTTTTTTTTTTTTTTTTTTAACCATTTTCTGACTCAAAACCACTCACAGACATCCCCCCCCCCCCATTATTTTAATTCCAGGAAGGGCTTTAAAGGGCAGGAAGAAACAGCGAAGTCGAAGAGAAAACCACTGGACATCCTCAGAGCCTGAATCTTCCTGCAGTTGCTAGACCTTATGACCAATTCATCCTAGTGCATATATTCTATGTGAAATGAAATTCACATCCCCCTATACACTCTTCCACTCAAAACCACTGCCCTTTGGAGCTTCTCAGGAGAGGTGCTATGAAAGGGTGGTAAAGATTTGATCATGGATCTAGACAACCTGTGTTTAAATTCTCACTCTTGAACCTACTAGGTATTACTTACTGGGAAATTAACTTACTTGTGCCTCAATTTCCTCACCCATAAAATAAAGGTAATTATATTTTCTCCCTTATAGTATTGTTTTAAATATTATATTGGTTGGTACTTATAAGATGCTTGGAATGCCTGGCACATTCTAAGAATTCATTAAACGTTAACCCTTATTTTTTTTATTAGCTCATAAAAAGCTTCCCAAGACAGTATCATCCATTTTTCTAAGTCCTTGTTATTCTGTGTTATATTTTCCTGAGCATTTAAAGGAGTTTGAATTAGGTCTTTTCTCTGATTTCTCCCGTGGTACCCTGTGTAGGGTCTTGATTTTTTTTTCTAGGGCTTAATTTCTCCTCCTACAAATGTGTGCATCGAAGCCACCTTAATCCAAAAAGGTTTTGCTTCAGTGTATATGTTGCACTGTGTTGTAGAAACACAGTAAACTTATGTTTTGTGTAGATAATTAAAAGAATGAAATGTTCCAGGCAATGAAATATTTTTGTTAGAAGATAGTAAACATTTAAAAATAATTAAAATGCGATAAAATACACTTAACCTAATTTACACAAGGTAAAATAGCGTTATAGAAACAGCAGTCTGGTATTGACTTAATCTTAGCTCTGCCACTTACTGGGTGACGTGTAAATTGCTTTCTTTACTCTCTGGCTCTCATTGTCTATTGTCAAAATCATCACAGTTGTTGTGAATAGGACTGGGGGAGGGTCCGGACACTAGCTTTTTGCTCCGATTCTAGTACCAACTGGTTATATTGCTTCAGACAAACCACTTCCCTCTCTGTATCACGATTTTTTCCTAACATAAGGTGATTGTAATAGACCTTCCCAACCCCTATGCATGCTGGCGCTGGAGGTGCTGCAGATGGGTTACAGTTGTGTCCATAGATTGATGCCCTCAGCCCCTGAGGCAGATATGCAAAATCTGAGGTAGCAGAACTAACTGCCTGTGCTGGTCTTCTGTGGACTGAGCAACCTTGTTCACTTTTTCCCAAAACAAACAAACAAACACCAGCTTTTAGTTTTATTGATCTATTTTGTTGACTCTTTAGTCTCCATGTCTTTCATTTCTACTCTGAGCTTTGTTGTTTCCTTCCTTCTACTAACTTTGGGCTTAGTCTCTTCTTTTCTACTAGTAGTTCTTTGAAGTAAGGTTGCTTTTTTAAGATAATTTTTTTCATAATATATGCATATATTGTTAGAAACTTTCCTCTTAGGACTGCTTTTGCTGCATCCCATAGTTTTTATATTTGTGTTTTCATTTGTCTCATTACAAATGAAATACACACACACATAATTTCCCCTTATATCCTATTGTTTGTTTAGGAGTACATTGTTTAATCTTTGTGTATTTGTAAACTTTCCAGTTTTCTTATTGTAATTGATTTCTAATTTCATAGCATATGGTCATAAAAGATCATGATGAGGTGTCAACCTTCTTAAGTTTATTAAGATTTGTTTTATGGCCTAATGTACGATCTATCCTGGCAAATGTCCCACGTGCACTTGAGAAGAATATGTATTTTGCTGTTGCTGGGTGGAATGCTCTGTAGGTCTCTGTTAAGTCCATCTAGTCCAACGTTTCTTTGTTAATTTTCTGTCTTGATGATCTGTCGATTATTGAAGATGGGTTATTGCTATCCCCTTCTATTATACTGCTGTCTATTTCTCCCTTTAGATCCGTTAATGTTTGATATATATATTTAGTTGCTCCTATGTTGAGTGCATACATATTTATAAAAATTATATCTCCTCAATGAATTTATATATATATATATATATATATATATATATATATATATACTATAAAATGACCTTTTTTGTCCCTTGTTACAATCCTTGGTTTTAAATCTATTTTTTTCTGGTGTAAGTATAGCTTCCCCAGCTTGTGTGTGTTTGTGTGCATGTGTGTGTGTGTTTGTGTGTGTGTGTCCATTTTCATGGACTATCTTTTTCCATTCTTTCAGTATATATGTCGTTAAAGCTGAAGTGAGTTTCCTGTAGGCAGATTGTAATTGGGTCTTGTTTTTGTTTCATTAAAACATTAAGCTACTCTATGTCTTTTTATTAGCCAGCTAGCAATTTAGAAATGAGATCAAGCGACTGTTTTTCACATGCTAGTGAGATTTTGGATAAAAACACTTTTGACAAGTACCCTGTACTTATATTAAAGTTTAGCATTTTATGCACAAAAGACATAAATAATAATATATTATTATGGACTTCCCTGCTTAAATAGCGCCGACAGCAGGAATTTTAAGACTTTGTTAGAACTGTAAATTATTAATCATCCCTTTTCTTTTGTTTCCCTGGTAATGTTTGGCCTGGGCCCCTCCTCTCTGTCTTTGTCTCTAGATTTAGATGTGGGGATTCTATAGCCTCAAATGGGGCGTGTTTTTTTAAAATTTATTTTGAATTATTTTATTCCTTTGCACCCCTATCATTTGTACTTCATGGGTATGTGGAAAGATTAGACCAAGGCTTAGCACTGTCATGAGGAGAAGAGTTGGGATGGATAATAAGATTGAGAAGATACTAAGGCAGTGAAGCTGGTCCTTACTTGTATAATTACAGAGGTATGAAAAACTCTTTTCTTACTAATGGATATGATCTTTCACATTTCATCCCAGGACAAAGACCCCTCCTTGGAAATCTTGGTTCCCTTTCAAATACAAACAATTCAGTGAGGGGGGGGGGGCAAAGCATAAAGATTAAAATTCTAGATGGCACTGGAAATGAACTTTGCCTCTTCTAGAATAGGGCTTTTCATAATGTGGGTCCCCTGAGTTCCTTTCAGGATGTCCATGTTGATATTTACACTGAAGATCCAAAAACAAACATAAATAAAACCTCTAGCATCTAGTTTGAATAAAGGCAGTTATATCAAATGACACCAGTGGTCATATATTCTTAATCATTACATATTTGCTTCTATACATACACATATGCACATGTACGCTAGTTTTATGTAAGAATTCTTTTGAAGCAGTAAAACTCATTAATTTCATTGGATTATGACCCATGAGCACATGTCTTTTTAATCTTCTATATGATAAAATAGGAGGTGCACATAAAGCATGTCTGAGTATACTGAAGAATGACAGTTGATGGTTATCTCAGGAAAAAGTACTTTTGTGATTCAGTTGTGAGCTGAACTTGCCACTTTTTTTATGGAACTAATTTTTTCTTGACAACCAACAGACAAACCATGGTTATTCAGACTTCAGTGTTTGGCAGACATTTTCTCAAAAAAAATATGCAGGAAGCCTGCCTCTTTAAGAAAAACAACTGACAGTATTTATTACCGATGATAAAATTTAAGCTTTCAAACAAAAAAAAAATAGAATTTTGGAGAACTCCTATTTGTCACCATGAGCTTGACAGTTTTCCAATATTTGAAGACTTTTCTGATGAGATTGGTGGTAATATTAATGAATATAATGTTTTGATATTATATAATGAAAAGTGTCAAAATGTGGAAGATCTGAATAACTCAGTGTTCCCATATTTTCCAGATGACTAATGCATGATGTTACAAAATCAGAAGGGTAGAAAGATCTATTCAAAGAACAATGTGGAACATTGGATTTTAATGTAACAGAGGAGGAGTTCATTGATATGGGTTCAGATTGCACACTGGAACTAACTGTTAAGAAACTATGTTTGTTAATCTTAGTATGGCACCATAGAAGAACATACACAACTATCATAACAGATTGAGTGCAGAAGCAAATCTGACTATGCAATCCTCACCTGCTCAGCTAGATAGTGAAGATATCTGCAAAATGCAGTGATGCATTTCTTCTTGCTGAATTAGGTTTGTTTCAGAACATAGTTATTGTCATAAAAATGTGTTATTTATGTGATATGTAATGTAAAATAAATATTTTTCTGTTCTTATTTCTAAAATGACAATTAGCAATAGATGTAAGCCACATATATAGAGAGAATTCAATCAATTCGAAGAGTATGAAGGGGTCCTGAGACCAAAACATTTGAGAACTATTGTTCTACACCAACATCTGACTTTACAAAGAGGTAACTGAGGCCGTAACAGGTGATATATCCACTCACATGGGGCCAACTGTGACTAGATTCTATCTCTGAAAACCGCTGTTTGCATTGCTTGTTTCCCCTACTACACTACTACCATAACAACCTTCACATGAACAAGGTGGTCAGCTACTCTCCAGTAAGCAAGGATAGGAAAGTAAGTTGTGATGGAGGCCAGCTGAGAAAGCCTTTCTCACAGCCTGGGGAATGAGAGGCCGGGGAGGCCAAAGGGCCTCTTTCAGGCAGTGGGCGTATCCGTCGGGAGATGTGGGCTGAGACAGATGAGCAGGTTCCAGAGGAAGAAGAACATGACCTACTGTGGACTGTGTGCCTCTTTTCCAGAATACAATGACCTTTTCTTTATCCTTCGACCTTGCCTCCAGGGAGTTTGCCCGTTGGAAAGTGAACAACTTGGCTCTGGAAAGGAGAGACTTCTTCAGTTTGCCACTGCCTCTTGCCCCAGAGTTTATCCGAAATATCCGCCTCCTGGGAAGGAGACCCAACCTGCAACAGGTTACCGAAAACCTGATCAAAAAGTACGGCACCCATTTCCTACTTTCAGCCACCCTTGGAGGTAAGCAACACTATGATCCTGCATGAATTGTCGCCAGGTTGTTTAAAATAGCTTTAAGGTCCACTGAGTATAGCTTCAATAGTCTTCTTGCATCTTTTGTTTTTCCTGGCCTATTGCCTGAGAATTGTCTCCTTTCTGGTGCCTTTGAGAACAGTATAGCTTCTTAATATCCAAACTCATTCCAGAATATTGCTGTTTGCTTCTCAGCATCTTCCTGAGAAGGGGGATGGGATAAAGAGGTTGGGAGACACATAGACTCCCACAAACCCTTGCCAGCAGGGGGTGCTCTCAGTTTCCTTTTGACTGAGCCAATTAACTGAAGCTTCTCCACATCCCTATATTTGCTGTGGCTACAGTTGCCAGGTCCATGGGCAAAGAGGGAAATGTCTGTTGAGTCCCTGACCCCTCTTCCTCTTTTATATAGATGAGTGACCACACACCAATTCTAATAATTCTGAGCTGGAGGGAGGCTAAAGTGGGGGTGGGATGGTGCAACTTTGGCTAGGACCCTGGGCAGAATCAGAAGCTCTAGAGAGACAGAGTTCTCTCTGCCTGGCAGAAGAAAACAGGATTTATTATAACATTTAGCTCACTGTCTGATGGACAAAAAAGAGCTCTCTGAGGGGTCAGGCCAGCTGCTGCATGTGGTAGGTGTTGAGTGTTTGAGGGGAAAGGGCCCCTTAAACTTCAAGGCTTCTGCCCTTTTGGAGCCTTTTGGAGGGATTATAAATATCCATGGCAACTTCTCATAAACAACTTAAGAGGAAGAATTTTATATCCTCAGGTAGATGCCTGAGATAGAGATCAAAAGAGGATGCCAAATGGATAAACTGAATGACAAGGGGGAGCTTTGGGGAGACATATGGAACTAAGAAAAGGAAGGAGGCCTCTCAGGTGTGATGTCTGTTGTCCTATGATAGTCGGTAGAGATTTCTCTAAATATGGTAAGGGAAGGGGAAGAGGCCATCTGCAGGAGTAATAGGCTCTTCCTTAGCTCCGTCTATTCTGGCCAACATTTCAGGTTCTTATTGGTAGGGGAGGAGGGAGCAGAAGGCCTCATCAATGAACCCACGTTGTTTGCTATAGGAGAAGAGTCTCTGACCATTTTTGTGGACAAGCGGAAACTGAGCCGAAAGACAGAAGCAGCAGGAAGTGCCCCTACAGCTGGTGGCAGTGGGAACAGCTCAGCTGTGTCCCTGGAGACCCTGCATCAGCTGGCAGCCTCCTACTTCATCGACAGAGAGAGCACCCTGCGGCGGCTGCATCATATCCAGATAGCCACAGGGGCCATCAAGGTAACGGTCTGAGAGGCACTGGGGAGGCTAGAGTCTTAACCAACTCCATGTGTAACCGGCCTGACCGATTGAGGGGGAAGGACGTTTTTCTCACAGAAGCATATTCAGGCCTAAACATGCTCCAGGTCTTCATTCTGCCACAAACACTCATGTAGATCTGCTCTGAAGCTGACTCCAGCTGAGGGGCTATAGAGAAAGGAAGCAAGGCCCCTGCTCCCCCAAATAGTAGGGGATAGAGATAATAAACAATCAAATATCAGCAAAGTAATTTCAGATAATGATAAAGTTAAAAGATAGTCATAAGGTACAGATTTTCTGGGGTGAGAGAAGGGAGCAGGTAATATTCACCAGTTTGGTAAGGGGAGGACACCTTTGGTCTATATGTGGAGGCTGAGATCTGAATATAGACTGTATATAGACCTGAGGGAAGAGTGTTCAGGCAGAGGGAACAGTAAGTGCTGAGGCCCTGAGGCAGGAACCAGCTTGGTGGTTTGGTGGAACACAGAGAAGACTGCTATGACTACGGTGAGATGAACAAGAAAGGTGCTGGTACAAGATGAGGTCAGAAGTAGGCTGGAGCCAAATTACGTGGCCATGATAGAGAACTTCAAAGTACAATGGAAGACAACCAAAGTGTTTGAAGCAGAGGAGCAATATGATCATACATGTTTGGAAAAGATCAATATTACTGTAAATTTAGTAACTATAACCTCCATCCCACTATTTCTACTTACATCTACCAGAGTTCTAGGAAAGTTCATATTGTTTTAGAGAAAACTAGTAAGAATACTTGAGAATACTGGATTTTTAAAATTCAAAATATAAAATTAGGGTGGCAAATAAGGGCCATCTAATCTTATATCCTGCCTTTATCCTACCCAAAATTCATAGGGAAGTCCCATTTATTTATTTATTATTCAATAAATATTTTGAACACCTTCTATGTGTCAGTCACTCTTCTTGATACTGATAATCCAAGAGTGAACAAAACATATTAAGTCCATGATATTATGAAGCATAAATTCTAGTAGTAGAGACATAATTAAATAAATATGCCATGTCAAGTGAGATTATTGGTATGAAGAAATGAAACCAGGGAAAAAAGGATAATGGAGACCCGGTGCTTTAGGAAATGTTATTTAAGGAGATATTTGAATGAGGTGATGAAGTAAGCCACATGTGCCTCTTAAGAGAGAGCATTTTAGAAGGAGAGAAGAGCAAATGCAATTGCCCTAAAATGAGAGTGTTCTTGGTGGAACACCATATGAGTGGAGTTAAAGAGGGATGAAGTGGGAGATGGCACAAGTGGTTGTATGCACAAGATCATGAACATTACTGATTAGTGACTGCTGCAGTGGTTGAGGTGAGAAATCATGGTAGCTTGCTCGGACATAGCTGGCTATAAATAAGCAGTGAGAAGTTGGAAGATTTAGAATGTGTTTTGAAGATAGAGCCTACAGGACTAATCATGAATTAGAAGAAAGGAATCCAGATTAACAGCAAGATTTTTGGCCTGAGCAACTGGAAGAACAGCAATTGCATTTGGTAAAAAAGGGTCACCCTGGGGGAGGTGCAGATCTGAAAGGAGTGAATCAACAGTATGGTTTTTAACATATTGAACCTGACATTTCTATTAGACATCCAAGTAGAGAAATCTAACAGTCAGTTGGATATCAGCACCAGGATTTCAAGAGAAAGGTAATGATTGGATATATAAATGTGGCATACAAATATATACACATGCATGGTTGATATTTAAACCTAGGGGAAAGAATGAGATGCGATCACCCCAGGAGTGATTGTAACTGGTAAAGTGGACCTGGGGCTGAGCTCCGAAGCACATCAATACTCAGAAATGGGAAAGAGGCAGAGGATCTGACAAAGGAGGGTGAGACAAAGCAGAAAGAACCAGTCAGATCATAAAGCCATATGAAGAAAGCATGTCACAGAAGCAGCAGGCAACTGTGCTAAAACGCTGTTGAGCAGTGAGGTTGAGAATTGCTATAAAGGCAAACAGAAAAATGGACGTTAGCTGGACAGTGATATGGGATCAAGTGCTTTTGTTTTTCAGATGAGAGATATTCTGGAATGCTGGTATGTTGATTGAAATGAGTCAGTAGAGAGGGAGAAAGTGATGATGTAAAAAGAGTTAGGCGATGATTGCAAATGTGATTGAGTAGATGAGAGAAGTTGATATTCCGTGCATGGATAGATGAGTAGGTCTCACATAGTAGCATGAACACTCACTCCATCCTTTGTGGGCAGTACGGAGTACTCAAGGACAAATGCAGTGGGATGGCAGAAGGGGGCGGGGTAGGAAAGGAACCAGCAGTTCTGGCCTGATTGATTTCACTTCCTCCATGAAACAAGAAACAAAGTTCTTGGCTAAAAGGAAAAGGAACTGTTGAGAAAAATGCATGAAATGGTCTTTTCAGAGAGTGGGAGTTAGGTATGGAGTCAGTTGATGAGATAAATGTAATGGGCTGTTGAGCAGCACTGGATGCCCATTTGAGACTCATTGTAATAATTATAACATGAAACCTGTCAGCAGAGTTTTGAGTTTTATCAGCTACATTCAGCACCTCATATTTAGCCATGCTAGAATAGATGAAGAGTTGGATTTAACCAAGGTATGTGTGTGTGTGTGTGTGTGTGTGTGTGTGTATGTGTGTGTGTGTGTGTGTACAAGATGAAAAAAAATTTGCAAGGGAGCTGAGTATAAAAAGGAGTGAGTAGCCGGGACCGGTTTGGCTCAGTGGATAGAGCGTCTGCCTGTGGACTGAAAGGTCCTGGGTTCGATTCCGGTCAAGGGCATGTACCTTGGTTGCAGGCACATCCTCAGTGGGGGGTGTGCAAGAGGCAGCTGGTTGATGTTTCTCTCTCATCGACGTTTCTAACTCTCTGTCCCTCTTAATTCCTCTCTGTGTAAAAATCAATAAAAATATTTAAAAAAAATAAAAAGGAGTGAGTATAGTGAGGAACTAATGGATTTGAGAGCATTAAGAAGTGACAAAAAGTAAAAAAAGTGGTCAGGTCAAAAACTTAGAACTCTAAGTAGGATTCTTCCACATTTATGTTTAAATTATTGTTGACATTAGGTAGATTTGATGACTTGTTAGAGGAAAGAGACTAGAGGAAGCACAAATGTGTGTTGCTTAATATTGAAGTTATAGAGGGAGTGAAATTCAGGTTCTGGGGTATGGATATGGGTGTGGGTAGCTAAGATGGGGTTGAAAGACAAGATGAGGAGGTGAGGTGAGGAGGCCAGAGAACTGAGAGGCCAGGGGATTAAAGAAGGGTCATCAACATGGGTGCTGAAGTCAACAGGAAGGATGCAGATGTGATGATGGTAGGAATGATGGTGGTAAGCAAGCTTAATGTTGAAAATCCTCAGTGAGTGAAAGTGAGTAAAGGAAAAATAGACTGCAACAAGGGGGAGTAGAGGGTGACAAAGTCCTGATGGTCCTAGCTTCCAAGAAGCCAGAGGTCATTTAGAGAGGAAAGAGAAGCAGGTTCAGGATATCACAATGGCAGACTCATCTGACTTCCACATCCAGGAGAGCGAGCTATGGGAAAACAGCCACTACTAGAGAAGACTGCTGGGGAAGTTGTGTATTCGGGATCTGCTAGACTGTGGCCAGTGCAAAAGGTGAGGAGAACTCTTGAGAAGAGATTGAGGCTATAGGGGATCTTGCTGAGAACTGATTATTTCAAAGGGCACGATGGAAGGGATTAGATTAGGAATGGACAGTGTCTGGACTGAGTCTGAGAGAGGAGGATGACTGAAGTTGGCAGGGATGTCAGGTACATTTGGGATGCTAATGTCTCAGGCAGCTTTTAAAAAAAAAAACTATCAGTAGCGTGGAGTGGGTTTTACTAGGAACATAGAACTCTATAGAAACTTCTCTCCATCTTTAGTCCTAAACTGTGTCCAAGTTAGAGAAGAATTGGTCTTACCCAGAAATTAAAAGTAGACCAGGATCAATAACTCAAAGATCCTATTAATGTTCCTTCTTATCCTTTGACTTGACCAACTTTCCACTTTTAAAATCCCTTCATAGCATCATTCCCTCTTTGCCTGAATATATTCCTTCATTCATCATCCATAATTGCCCCCTTACACATATTCATTTGCCCTTTGCCTCCTGTTCATGTCCATTGCTATTCTGTTCATTCAGGATCTTATCAACTCTTACCTGATCTTCGTGCATTATCCTTTTAACTAGTCTTCCTGACTTTATTCTCAGCTGTTCTTCCTGATCCACCCTCTATGCTGCTTACAGGAGTGAAAACCATCAAATAATATCACCCCCTTGCTTAAATTCCTTCAATGGCTGCTGACTGTACATGGAACAGAGCCCAAACCACTGTACCCCAGCCAGGGTTGCATTGTAAGTCAACGGAAAAAACACGGGCTGGAGCCCAAGAGTCTGCCAGGCTTTGAACAAGTTATAAAACTTCTCTGAACCTCAGTCTTCTCATCCTAAAACTGTTGAACAATTATAATAATTTCTACCTTGAAGGATTTCTGTGAAGATCAAATAAGAAAATCTATAGAAAGCATGAGCAATAGCTCAACTGGAGGTTGAAAAGGGATAACTCCTCTTCTTCTTAACAAAAAGATAAGGCCATTGAAGTGTTATCCCCACTGTCTTTATAGTTTCATCTCCAAATCATCCTTTTACATTCTTCTGGACCCGTTTTCCCCCAGCCCTTCACTTACCATTTATACCGTGAAACCAATCCTATCTAATTACCAGTCTTTATTCAAATATATCATGGTCTATGTCTCCTCCCCTGGTATCTGCTGTTTGGTTTGTTTACAAAGCTTGTCTGTTCACCTGAGTGGCTCTTCATCATCCTTCTTTGATCAGCTCAGAAAGCTAACTCTTTTATGATGCCTTTCCTGACTCAAAAGGCAGATAAATGCCCCTCTTCAGTGTTTCAAGCACATGCCTCTTCTATGGGGCTTATCAGTTGAACTACAATTGCTAGCTAACATCATGATCTCTGAGATTATAAGGTCCGTGTGGGAGGGACTGGGTCTTACTCATCTTTGGTTCCCAGTAAGAGTACAGAGCTGGCCACATTTTAGGTGATGAGTAATGGGCTCTTATGGAACACTTTTATGTCAGGACAAAGATAGGCAGGTCAACCCTTTAAGGTGAGCAGAGCCAGGGGAAGGGATGCCAACACCTCCCTTTGCTTCTTAGCTTAGCAGTGACCTTGGACAGGTCAAACAGGTCTGTAGACATCACTAAGTTATGTAAAGATGAGGACTGGGAGGAGGGAAGATGGGAGAAAAACACTGTATGATCTCTGTTTTCTCATGGTTCTCTGAATTACATTCCATGGGAGAATCCAGTGTGCTCCTAACAGAAAAACTCCAGGCCAGTCAGCCCAGTGGAAGCTGATAATCATCTCACATTTTATGTGTTAATGGCGATGTTCCAAAAACAGGCTTCCAAGGATGGTGGTTACTTTTGATTACCCAAAATGTTCCTCTGAGAGCAAGGTGGACCCGGATCAGCACACACCTCTACTATTGGGCTTGGCATTTTATAATACAGCTTTTTACATGTGCATCTGTCTCCCACACCCATCGCGACAAAATGGCTTACAGTGGTGGGACTGCGGAGTGCACACAGTTCTGGGTCCCTTCACAGTATCTGGCATAGTGAGGCATGCAATCAAATGCTCGATAGGTGACAGTGGGCTGCATGGTTTAGTGAAAAACAAACTTACTCAAGTGAGAAGATTTGGGATTAGGTTTCAGCCTAGAAGCTTCCTATCTCTATGACTTTGAAGAGTCACTGAGCTCCCTAACATGGAGTTGCCAATGATTTGACTTACCCCTACCCAGGCTTATATTCAGTTGCTATGGCTACATAGTTACTAAAATATTAAAATACTTCCATCCTGGCTGATAAATGATCTTCACCACAACCTCCTGTGTGCCACCCTAACCATCTCACCCTCCAGATGTCACCCCTCACCCCATACCGGTAGTAACCAAAGGGCTAATGCACCTCAGGCTTCCAGAACCCTACTTTGCGATACCCTGTTCTTCCTGCCACAAATATTGTGAATGTTACCCCTAATTCTTAGCTGGAGTGATACCAAATGATATAGTTCACATGAAAACACTTTATAAACTATAAAGGATGACTACATATCCATCCTTCCCATAAGTGTCGGGATGTGATCAGAGGCATGAAGAAGGGGAGGGAGCCTGTTCCTCAGTCGCAACTCACCCTCATTTTAATTGAAGGCTGAGGAAGGACTTGGTGGGGGGTAGCTTGAGATGCTCCAGAGCCCCAAATTCAGGTGGATCTGGAGATGGCAAAAGGAAGTGGTTCTCACAAAGCATCCTAGGAGGGCTTTGTTCAAATTGCTCAAGGCAGCAGCCTTCCATTCAGTTTGCAGATCTTTTCGGCTCACTTGGCGGCCCTGCTCTCCCAAGCAGCCCCCACTGCTCACAATTAGAAGCCCATTTTAAGCTCGCAGCTCGGCAGGTGTCCCATCAGGTAGGGCAAGAGCAGCCGGAAGTGAAGGGCAAGGGGAGGAGAGTAGGCAGTTAGAATGATGGCTCGCTTGGTCTGGTATATATAAGGAAAACTGGATGTGCTAATGAACCTGAGATCCATCAGGGCGTCTGATAGCAGGCTGGTCTCTGTCAACAGACCAATTAGCACACAATTATTTCCCCTTTCTGAAAGCTTATCTGAGACACTCTTAGGACTTGGGTGCCTGAGTGAACTGCACTTTCCATTACCTCTGTATAATCTGCCGAGCAGCCTGCCTCTTCTATAGACAGAGACACAGGGCTCTCTGGACCAACCCTGCAGAGTCTCTGAGACTCCATCACTGGGGGCAGGGGGAGGTTATACTGCTTATCAAGTCCATGTTTAGGCACTGTCTGCAAGAGCACCCTCTCCAATGCCCTCTCTCCTCCTCACTTATCTAGGGAGGACAGAAGTGACTCAGAGCAGAATAGCAGAGGGAAGAGCAGTGACTTTGGGATCTAGTAAAATCATAGTGAGCCTTTCTCCCTCTTGGAGATCAGGCCTAGATCATTCCCTCTAATAGGAAATGAGCTTGAGGATCATGGTCATTGTCACTTCCCCATTCCTATCCTTGTGCCACAATTAATAAAATGAAGCTACTCATATTTGCTCAATAAATTACCTAACTGATTGTCCTCTGTGAAAATTACCTTTGATAATAGCAAAGTAAAGGTCAGAAAGACCATCTCTGGCAGCCCAGAATGTTAATAGGATGGTGGGAAGGCAGATGGATGGCTGGTAGGGAGGAAGGCTTACCAGTGGGACTAAGGACAGGAAGATGGCTGTTCTAGGTTTTCCTCCTTTGGAGTCATCTGTTCCTACAAAAAGTGTGTAGTTTCCTCTCTGCCTAGACCCGATACTGGTAAGTGGACCAGCTCAGTGATGGGTGAATGGCAAATCCAGTGCAGAACTGTGTGACCATGTGGTGCCAGCTTGCCTGGTGTTGGGAACCAGCAGGTCTTCCAAATACCTTGCCCAACATCCCACCTAGCCCTTCAACCCAAGCCATTCCACTAGGGGCAGGCTTCTCCAGAACAGGTGAGCTAGTCCTTACCTATGGCTCTTCTTACAGGGATTTTCATACCATATAGATAAAGAAGATTTCACTTGATATAAGGCAATGCTCAGCCTTCCACTTCAGTCTGGCAACTCACCACTTACTCACTCACTCACTCACTCAACTCAGCCCTTAATGCCCATCTACTGGGGAACACAGGCCCATGTATAACTGCCAGAACTTGGGGATTATGGAAACTTGCTTCCTCTTGTCTGCATCCTTGTGGCAATGATTGGGGCTTACACACTGTGAGTTCCGATTGTTCCTTGAATATTTGTTAAATAAAAAAATAAGTGAATGGGTAAGTTGGATGAATCCTAGCCCAGCAGGTGACTAGCTGTGTTACTTTGAATAAGTCATTTAAGCTCACTGGTCTTGGCTCTCTCATTTATAATACAAGGGTCCTACAATCTCAAGGCTTAACAATTTGTTTTACCTCAGGTTCACATTCAGAGGAGAAGGTAGATCACCAAAATATGCTGTTTAAAGTAATTGCTTTTAAGATTGATGTCATCTAAAGGGATTTAACTCTATTTTCTGCAGTCTATTGGCATGCCCTCACAGGAGACACAGGGGCACCAAACTGGAGTCTGGGGACTTAAGGGTTAAAATCCTCTTTGGGCTACTCAACAGTGTGGAACCTTGGGAGAGTGACAGTAGTGAGATTCATCTCAGAGGGTTACTGTGAAGGTGAAAAAGAATGATATTAGAGGATGAACTTGGAAAACTGTTGTTTCTACCCTTGTCATGGTCTTGTGTCCCATTTATGTACTGTGTCTATCATTGCCCCTTGGTCTTTGCAAGTATATCCTTTTCTCTCAATTCCCTCCCCATCCCACTCCTACTCATCCTTCAAGACCAATGTCTGCATCTGGCTCACCTCCTCCATGAAGCCTTCTTTGACTAATTTAAGTTACAATATCTCTCCCATCTCTCACATTTCAAGTCATTATCATACCAGCTCTCACTTGCCCCTTCTTTTTCTCAGAGTACCTTTCCCTCCCTTCTCTTCGTGTCCACTTTCTACTGAGCTTTAAGGACCAATTCAGTTGGTGTCTTCTCTGCTACTTCTTCCCTTGTTTTCTCTTTGTTTAGAACTATACCTTCCTCAGTAGCCATGACACACTGCTTCTGCTAGACTTGAACGTGTATCAGTCAGTTGTTTATGTACCTACTCCCCACTACAGGTATAGATGAGGACTTGGAGGAGGGAAGTTGATTGTAATTTCCTGACAATATAGTATATAATGTGTATATCTTTGTGCTCACCCCTCCTCCCCTTAAAGCCTGAAACCTACCACTCATAAATTCTCTAATTTACTGAGTACCTGGTATGTACAACTGTATTAACAGCTGCTGACAATATGAGCTTGCTTTGTGGAGCCTTTGGTGTGTGGAGGACCCAGACATTGTGAAATAGTCACAGCAAAGGATGGACTAGGGTGGCCTGCCTGCCTGCCGCTGAGCAGAGGTGCCCAGAGCTTGGAGAGGGGGTGAGAGATATCAGAGCAGACTTCGTGGAAGAACTTGGGGAAAGGCACACTATGAATATTTGATGAACTGCATGGAATTGAAATGGTGGCCGCTCAATAAATACTAGTTCATTGGTTGATTGATTGTGGGAAAAGCCTTAGAAGATCCTGAGAAGAAAAGGCCTCAAATCCCTATCGTTCTTATTACATAATTATTTCAGTGCATTTAAAGCTCCTCGTTTTTTATCTTATACTTTAAACATCAGGAGAAAACTGATAGGCCAACTTTATGATATTTTAAAATGACTCTGATGTTTTGGAATATTACATGGCTATAAGACTTTATGTATATTTAATATACTTAGTAAAATATGCAGTAAGCCCATGGCTGATTTTCTCTAAGGACTTCTCAGTGCCGAGGTGGGACTTAAATGTTTAATACTAATAATAATACTCATTATTCATATTTCTCTAGTGCTTTTCATCTTAGGAATCCGTCAAGCCTGGCAGCACCACAGTGATTGGCTGCATCTGGGCTCACCAGAAGGCTGACGGCATCCACATCTGGTCTCCCGTCTCCCTCCAGGGAGGGGAGGGTCCAGCTTAAAGGTGCAGCTTCCTCTGCCTATGGTGAATTTTCTCTTCCCTGACACAGATTCGTTCTGGCTCCCTCTGAAGGACTGCCCCTGTGTAGAACTGTTGCTTCCAGCCATGCCCCACAGATAGTCACTATCTTAGGACAAGGAAGAAAAGTGGTGCTAGGCTCTGAGGGTGGGGGAACACAAGCCATTCCTTTGGCTGGACACAGAGCCTGAGATGGGTGACTGGAGAGAGAGAAGGGCAAAGGGAGAGTCTCCCCTTGTTATGTAAACCCACGCTCTGCCCTTCCTGCTCTAGGTCACGGAGACCAGGACCGGCCCTCTGGGCTGCAGCAACTACGACAATCTGGACTCGGTCAGTTCAGTCCTGGTGCAAAGTCCGGAGAACAGAGTGCAGTTACTCGGTAAGCTGCACAGAGATGGTGTTCCACTCCTCACACCTGGTAAAACACATGGATCCCCAGGGAGTAAGGAAAAGTCCTACTGGACCCACCCATTTGCTCAAGCCCTTTTTAGACAAGAGTGACCGAGAGTTCTGGGACTGGTGGTTAACAACTTTCCAACTTCCCATCATTCATTTAAGAAAACTTCTGACATGATTTGCCCCACATCCAAGACCAATGCCACTGGACACCCCAAATCCAAAAACACTGTCACTATCCTACAGCAACAATGCATCCATCTTTATATCCCTTGACCTAGTTCAGCGATCTCCTTTGTTGCTTAAGGAACCTTCTGCTTTGTCTTGAGAACACACTGGGAACAGCTGGCCTTTGCAGAATGGTTATGGGGCCACCATCTCTAGCTCAATTAAGAACTATACAAACTATTGTACCACTGGTTACCCTGAAAGTAGTGCCCTGCTTTCTGTTATTAGTGGGCAATCTTCCTTGGGAGATCAAAGCGAGGAGGAGCGGGTGAGAGGAATGGGATCCTGGACTGAAGATAGAGAAGCAAGCAGGAAAACGGGAAAGCCAGAGGAAAGGAAAACGCCACTAGGTCAGGAGGCTGGAGGTGGGGCAGCCTCACTCCTGCTGTCTGTCCTCCAGGCACGCAAACGAAGTCAGACAGAGCTGTTTGGTAGTGGGAAAAGTTCATTTTTCTTAAGACCTAACTGAATTGGTCTCTGCTTAAGATATTATTGTCTCTGTATTATAAAATCAATAGCTCTCACCCAGGATCTATGATTACAAATTCCAGGCAACCTAAGTCGGATGCAACCCATAAATGCTTTAGGAATCAAGGAATAGATAACAAAGAGGAGTAAAAGACTCCTTTATTTAGAGGCACCTAAGGCAGTTAGCATCCCTCTTCTATGTCCCTGGGTGGGCTGGGTTGTTGTCTGGAAATTAGCAACCAGGGAAGTTCAGAATGTCTGGTGGTTCATTTGGAGTGGTTTAAGCCATTTAATTTTATAGCCCATCTCTCATGCAGACATTGCTCCGGGCACTTATTTTATAGCAGTGGGAAATGTTATGGTGAGGCAGAGGGAGGCGATAGGGGAGGTGAAAGGAGTGGACTTGTAGAGGGGTGGGTGTTGAGAGCATGCCTATGGACAGGGAGTGTGGGGAGGGCAGTTCTAAGGCCCCTGCAGGCACCACATCAAGAAAGGAAAATTCCAGAACAGTTCAGAAACGGGAGGGAGGCCTCGGACAAGAACACCAAACATCCACTGTGGCTGCAATTCTAACATATTTTGAATTGCTGAGACTGGGATACATACTTTGGGCTCTCTGATTTCCTGCCAAGGACAAGGTCAATGGTGTGAAAATAAACAGCTGGCAGACATTTGAGAAAAGGCGGTGCATCATATACAGAAATCCCTTTGTCCCTCAAAGTGTGCCTAGCGGGAGAGTCTCCTGACACAGGATCTCATAGTGTGCCTAATGGGGGGAGTTTCCTGCAGGTCTGACCTTGAACAAGCTCAGGCTGTATCTCAAGGCATGTTTGTCCCTCATTCATTCCTTAATATGTTTCCAACAGCTACTTTGTGTGGCTTGAAACTAACTAGGGGTATCTTCTACTACTTCCTGGTAAACAAATACCCACCACTGATGGGTGGGGAAACTGAAGCATTACAGCCAAGATCAGAGGATGCTAATTAGAAGAGCGCTGAGAGCCATTTGCATGTATCCAGGCCTGACTGATCTTGGGTATTTACCACCATCCTATTTTCGAATCTCCTCAAGAGTTAAATTTACATTGGGATGGAGCCGCCAGTCCTGGTGGGACAGGGCAGGGTCTGACACCAAGCAGACTGTACTAGTACTGTGAGCTGAGCTGGTCACTGTGGTCACTGGGCTTGGATTCCCTCACCTCTAAGAGGCTCAGTTTGACCACAACTGTTACTTGCAATTGTATATGGAAAGTACTTGGGGGTAGTTCCAGGCCACTATATACCCACAATACCTGTTCCTGCCTCCTAATCAGGGCAATCTCTGTCATTGGGGCTGGGGTGGGAAGCCCAGGAGGATCAGCATTCAGTAACATCCTAGGATGCCTGCTGCTAATCTCAGTGAAGCTAGAAAAAGGATGGTTATCAGAGACAAAGCAAAAAGCCCATCAAGGCTTGATTCCTCCCCCATGAGAGCTGTAAGCTCTTCTTTTATCTGAAACATCTTCCTGTTTCCATCCTAGAAATGCTGATGGGTAGCCAATAAGCCCGTTCATATGATGTGCACGCTCTCAATTTGGCTGATATAAGAGGTTCAACTAAGCCTTGGGCTTTGATGATCCTCATTTGCATTTTCAGATCCTCCCCCATCTGTCACTGGGGCAGTGGCAACCCTCTCTCCCAACCAGCTCAGCAGGATCAGGCCCTGGGGTGACCGTTCTTGGGCCCAGGATGCACAAGGCAGCAGAACCCCAGCTGGGGCTCCTGCAGCCTGGGGTGAGGGGAACTGAGCCCCACTGGTTCCGCCTGGCAATTTCCTGGCATGTCCTTTCCCTAGGCCTGCAGGTACTGCTGCCTGAGTACCTGCGTGAGCGCTTTGTGGCTGCAGCGCTGAGCTACATTACATGCAGCTCAGAGGGTGAGCTCATCTGCAAGGAGAATGACTGCTGGTGCCAGTGCAGTCCCACCTTCCCCGAGTGCAACTGTCCTGATGCTGACATCCAGGCCATGGAGGACAGCCTGCTGCAGATCCAGGACTCCTGGGCCACTCATAACCGGCAGTTTGAGGAGTCAGGTGAGCAATCATCGGTCCCATGTGTCCTTCCTGTCAATGGGAGGTGGCTGTGAGGTGTAGGGCAAGATCATGGGAACTCAACGCGGATCCTGACTCAGCAGTTTCTATCACCACTCTGAGTCTCAAATCATTTCTTTCTGTTTTACACGCAAATGGGCATACTACATACCGAAGAGATGTGTTTGAAGAGTTTAGTAAGCTAATGAAAGATAAGGGAGGCATAGGCTCTGTCTATTTTGTATGCTATAGGTTCCACAGTGCCTAGAATAGTGCCTGCACATAAGGTGCACAATAAATGTTTGCTGAATGAGTCAAGTGAATAGAAAAGTTCTAAGAGAGCCAGCCATGCTATGTGTAACTAATATCAATGTAACCTGGAGACCTAGATTCTGAAGGACTTGGTTTGTGTTATAGTCTGTGTCCCCCAAATTCATATGTTGAAAATCTAATGCACTCAGTGATGGTATTAGGTGGTGGGACTTTGGGGAGTGATTAGGTCACGAATGGGATTAGTGCCCTTATAAAAGAGACCCAGGGAGATTTCTAACCCTTTCCACCACGTGAGGACACGGTGAGAAGTCAGTCAGCCATCTGCAGCCCTGAAGAGGGCTTTCACTAGAACCTGGCCATACTGCAACTCCAATCTCAGACTTCCAACATCTACTAGTTAGTAGAACTGTGAGAAATGAGTTTCAGTGGTTTGTAAGTCACCAAGTGGAATTTTATTGTAGCAGCCCAAACAGACTAATTGTAAACACCCTGTTACTGCCCAGCTCTATAACCTCATGTTGGCCACACAGCTTCTCAATGCCTCAGTTTCCTCATCTGTTAGAGGGAAAGTGATAATGACAATTAGATAGAAGGCTTAAAAGGGATAATTTAGATAAAATAAATGTAAAAAGAACTCTGCACAATTCTATTCATACATTTCAATACTAATAAATGCTAGTTATATGGATATATTTAAAAAGCATAATGTTAGATAAAACAGCAAGAGGAATAGATATAATATATACATGTTTATATATAATAATATATGTAATGCTATAATAATCTATTAAATATAATACACATTTAATAGTACTTATATGGAGTTGAAGAATGTGCTAGTGAATACTTAATATTTTTATAAATACACTTGTAGAACACATAAACATATGTGATAATGATAGAGAAAACATACAAGAGAGTGCCCACATCTTGATGGAGAAGTGAGGAAGTTTGGGGTCTTCAAGTATATTTGCTTTGTCTTACTTCCTTAAAAATAATCTGAAACCAATACGGCAAAGGGCCAAAAGCTTGTTAGTGGGCACATAGGAATTTATCCTGCTATTCTCCATACCCCTTTGTATATTTAAACCTTTTATTTAACAGAACAATGCACAGGATAGTTATGTTTCACTACAGGAGTGATTCTCCAGTTCTCTGCGGGGGATGCAGAACCAGATGCTTGAGAAGTCAGAATGAGCTGAGGCCCCTGTCATTATGAGTTCTAGGCAAGGCATTTAACAGCTAAGAAGTACATCCCACCCCAGGCCTCCAACCCCAGCTGCTACGGGCTACTGGGGATATTTGTTCTGTAACTTTTAAGTGTGCGGGAAAAGACTTTGAGCTTTCACCGCCATGAATTGCTGCTGCTGAGTAAACGAGGACTCTCTGGATCTCCACCAGGAGACTGGTGGCTGCAGGTCCCATTAAAGCAGATGTGGGCAGATCTCTGAGCATGAATTCAGAAAGCATGTTGTGACCAGGAAGCCCGGAGAACATCTCAAACTGGCAGTAGGAGCTGAGAATCAGAAAGCACATTGCTTCTGGATTAGCTACAGGAAAGAATGGGTATCTGACCAAGACTGGAAGCTGGAAAAAAAAAAAAAAGGCAGTATATCCTAGAGTAAAAAAAAAAAAAAAAAAAAAAAAAAAAAAAAAAAAAAAGGTTAGGGAGAGGGTGGCTGATCTCAGAGACTGAAAGGCTTTCAGTAAGATTTCTCAGCTGGTGCTCTATCCTCTCTGTGTCCCCATTGGCCAGTCAGTTCTGGGCCATGTACACCGGCCTCCAGCACTGCTACCAGCTGCTGGGAGCCAGCTTGAAAGTGGTGTTCACCCTTAAGAGCGCCACATTTTCCATAAGGGTGTTGCGGTGTCTTTGAAGATTGGCCTCAGACAGCGCTCTAATGACTTACAAGGAAGTAGAAAGGGGAAAAGAGATGTGCCCCAAGGTCATTGGCCCCTTGGGGATGACAGATTGGCTCTGAATGACTTACAAGGAAGTAGAAAGGAAAAAAGAGATGTCATTGGCCCCTTGGGAATGACAGAGATCTGTCTTGAAATTGAGAAGCATATTAAGGACAGGAAGGATGGGAAAGCCACATTTTATGGTATATTAATTATTTCTCCATAAAGCTATTGAAAAATACACAAAAAAAGAGCCTGAGAGAGTGGCTGTGAAGCCTCCTTCTGTATGCAGTGACTCTGAAGGGCCAGGGAGCGCCCGCCTGCCCCTCCGGGGGCATGGACGGACCCCCTCAGCCCTGTCTGTGTCCTTGCCCACAGAGGAATTCCAAGCCCTGCTGAAAAGGCTGCCTGAGGACAGGTTCCTGAACTCCACAGCCATCTCCCAGTTCTGGGCCATGGATGCTGGCCTCCAGCACCGCTACCAGCAGCTGGGAGCCAGCTTGAAAGTGTTGTTCAAGAAGATGCATCGGATCGTCAGCCGGCTCTTCAACCTCTGCAAACGCTGCCACCGGCAGCCTCGCTTCCGTCTGCCCAAGGAACGGTGAGCACTGCAGGCCCCGAAACCAGTGCTTGGCACCTCCCCAACAGCTAAGGCCAGGGTGGACCCTCTGCCCAACATGGGAGACCCAGAAATAGGGAGACACATAAATGGCCTTTTAGATGTTCCTATTATCTTGACCTACTCATGTATCCTCAACTATGAGATGTACATAAAGCGAGGAAAAAAAAAAAAAAGAGAGAGAGGCTAGTTGGACTTTTATATGAATGATAGTAGAATCAAATGCTATCCTAATAATACTCCTATTCTCACTTATTTCCATTTGGATACGTCTTCTAGATAAGTCCTCTAGGGGAGTCAAAGCTCATACACTAACTGCTTGGGATAGGAACTACACACATTGGATTATTTTGAAGAGTCACAAGAGAAAAGAGTCACAAGAGAAAAGAGAGCTGGGGTCCTGTGTCCTCGGGAATAGAGTGGGGCTGTATGTTAGGCACTCACTCACTCATCTGCTCATTGACTCATTTGTTCAACAAGTTTTTATTAAGTCTATATTGCATGTGATTTGATTAAGCTGTGGGGGATATTTTGGAAGTCTGAAAAAATATACAGAAACATAAAAACTGAAAAATTGCAACTATGTGGCAGCCACTTAAAGCCACTTCACTTCATGTTCATGGAGTGTAAATAAAAAAACATGGTCTAGTAGAAGCAAAGGCCAAAGAGGAAAGCCACCATGGGGAAGGAGGAGTGGCCAGGCTGTAAGGGAGGAGATGGAAAGGCGGGTGCATGTGAACGGGGCATTCCAGGAGAGGAAGCTGCCCTGGCAACAACCCAGAAGCACCACTCTACCTGAGGCACAGGTGGGAAGGAAGAGAAGGGGGAGTGCAGGCCAGCGAGGGATTTGAAGACCAATTCATTTCTTTTCAACAAATAATTATCAAATATTTACCATGCACTGGGAACAATTCTAGCTCCTAAGAACATGTTGGCGAATAACACAGTGTCCCTGCTCTGATGACATCTGTAAGGAAGTGGAATCCGCCAAGCTCATCCCTTGTCTATGAACAAGTCAGGACCAAAGAAACACAATAATTTTCGATCCTGATCACTGCTGTGGGTTCACAGAAACAGGGTGATGAGACAGAGAATGTCTGTGCATTTTTTCTGGAAGGGAAGTCACGGAAGACCTCTTTGGGAAGGCATTTTTAAAAGGAGCCATGTTAGGAAATTTCTATTCTTGGTGGAAGAGTGAGAGAAGCAGAAGGAACACAAAGGACAGCGACTAAGAAGGAGAGGGAGTTGGCAGGATGTTTGAAAGTGGAGAGCTGGCTGTGAGAAGATCTTCTTTAGGAGGCTGGAAACCTGATTTGACATGAAAGATGGCGCAGAGCTCTGCAGGCTTTTGAGTGAGGCAGTGAGGCGGTACCTGGGAAGGATGAACTTGGCGGATTCCACTTCAAGGTTGATGTCAAATATGTCTGGGGCAGATCTGTCAGAGACTGAGTCCCAGGCCCTAGTCAGTCTCTCCAAAGTGGCACAGTAGGGTTTCCATCTTTTAGAGAACGTGGGCCTTTAATTTCCTGATTGCTTTCCCTGTCTGCTGGTCACTGTCCTAGTACCCTCAGGGAGGATGGCAGTGTGGTGTGCACCTTCCTATGACTCTTGCTTCATCTTTATCTCCTCTCCCAAAGGTCCTTGTCTTACTGGTGGAACCGAATCCAGTCCTTCCTCTATTGTGGAGAAAGCACCTTCCCTGGCACCTTCCTGGAGCAGAGCCACAGCTGCAGCTGCCCCTATGATCAATCTTCCTGCCAGGGCCCCATCCCATGTGCCTTGGGTGAAGGGTCTGCCTGTGCCCACTGTGCCCGGGACAACAGTACACGCTGTGGGGGCTGCAATCCAGGCTACGTGCTGATCCAAGGGCTGTGCCGGCCAGAGGTGGCTGAGTCCCTTGAGAATCTCCTGGGGCTGGAGACAGACCTGCAGGACCTGGAGTTGAAGTACCTGCTGCAGAAGTGGGACAGCCGCATTGAGGTGCACTCCATCTTCATCAGCAATGACATGCGCCTGGGCAGCTGGTTTGACCCCTCCTGGAGGAAGCGCATGCTGCTCACCCTGAAGAGCAACAAGTACAAGCCTGGGCTTGTGCATGTGATGCTGGCCCTGTCCCTGCAGATCTGCCTCACCAAGAATAGCACCTTGGAGCCCGTCATGGCCATCTACGTCAACCCCTTTGGAGGCAGCCATTCTGAGAGCTGGTTCATGCCCGTGAATGAGGCCCACTTCCCTGTCTGGGAAAGGACTAACGTGGACGCGGCTGCCCAGTGCCAGAACTGGACAATCACATTGGGGAACAGGTGGAAGACCTTCTTTGAGACAGTCCATGTTTACTTACGGAGCCGAATCAAGTCCCTGGATGACAGCTCCAATGAGACTATCTACTATGAGCCCCTGGAGATGACAGATCCCTCCAAGAACTTGGGCTACATGAAAATCAACACCTTGCAGGTCTTCGGTTACAGCCTGCCCTTTGACCCAGACGCCATACGGGACTTAATCCTCCAGTTGGATTACCCGTACACTCAAGGCTCCCAGGACTCTGCCCTCTTGCAGCTCATAGAGCTTAGGGACCGGGTTAACCAGCTATCTCCACCTGGCAAAGTCCGGCTGGACCTTTTCTCCTGCTTGCTCCGGCACCGGCTCAAACTGGCAAACAATGAGGTGGGCAGGATCCAGTCCTCCCTGAGGGCTTTCAATTCCAAGCTGCCAAATGCTGTGGAGTATGAGACAGGCAAACTCTGTAGCTAATGGGGAGGGGAGTCCACTTCAGTGCTGGACAGGAAGGGAATCCATGCATCCAGGCACTCACCTTGGTGCCAACAAGGGGCTCCCTTGAGACTCTGCACCCAGCAGATGGGACCTCGGGGATTGGACTGACACAGACAGGAGAGAAATAAGCAGTCACTGCACATGCACACACCCCCCATGTGTGCACATGCAGACACACACACACACACACACACACACACACACACACGCTCCCTTGAGGAGGCTACAACTCAGCAGCCTCCTGTCTGTAAAGTCGGTGCTTTCTGAAATGAATGCAGTTGAAGGAGATGAGCCAAGGGAGAGATTAAGAAAAAGAACCAGCCAAACCATGAAACAAACAAATCCTTAAAAGTGATTCTTATCATTCAAGGAAGCAAGAGGGGCAAAGAGGAAGGGTGGAGCTCCTGTTCTCTCAGTGGAGTCACTTTTGTATTCTTTTTAACCAGTTTTCTTGAAACAACGGTGTTTCGTGATTCCCACAATGGCTCCTACTTTTTGTACTCTGACTCCTCTGAGCCCTCCTAGATGCTGACTGCTCCCCAAGGCGGCTCCTTTAAGAAACAGAGGAAGTGACATCAACTGAGGACTCTCAGGGTGGGCAGGTGGCCTTGCTCCCACTTCACCTTTCTTCCTCCCCCTGGTCCCCTAGCTTCCTGGACTACCCCAGTTTGGGGGCTGGGCTTGTTCCCCGCCCCATCCTCCCCGCCCCTGGTTCAGCCAGAGCTCCCTTCCTATAGCCCCCAATCTGTCCAAGAAAGCAGCTGTCCAGTTAGAGAGACAATGTCTAGGAAAATGTTCTTTTTTAAAAACAAAAACAAAAATATTTATTTTGTGATTGTTTTCCTTGTCAATCTGCTCCAGCCACATGAACATATGAGTAAAAAAAATAATTGATTTAATATATATTTTTAAAGACCTTTATTAGGGGGGAAATGAGAGGGAAAAGAGGCAAAAAGAGTATAGTTTCCTGGATTTTGTATTGCTCTATGGGTGACATGTGGGTGTCCTTAGATGGTAAATATTGCTGTGTGGGAGGCTGGTTGGCTAGTATATACACAAGTGAATGCATGCCTGTCTTGACTGGGTATGAGGTGTGTGTGTGTGTGTGTGTGTGTGTGTGTGTGTGTGTGTGAGAGAGAGAGAGAGAGAGAGAGAGAGAGAGAGAGAGAGAGAGAGAGAGAGAGAGAGAATAAAGATTGGAATGAGATGGAGGCAGAATTCTCCCAGGTAACTATGTAGCTGCCCCTCTCCTTTTTCCCATGAGTGAGGACTAACACGTTCCTAACCTATCAGGAGAATGAAAGTCTTCGCTCTTTAGGGGAACTGCAGCCTTTATGCTGGGCCAATGCTGGCTAAATGGGGCACCTCTGACTGCTGCAGACATCAGGAGAATTTCCACACTCCGCAACTTAGTCTGGGACCGCCCTTTGAGGACACTGGGAAAGATGCAGACGTGGCATGAGTTTCCTCCTTCTGTCTGGTCACCACCTTCCCAGCCTGAAAAGCAGGTTTGACATACACCACACAGGGCAGTGTCTCTTCTCCCCTTAGTGCCTTCCCTAGGTGGTATGGGAATCTCTTCACAGCAAATCTTTTTTGAAAAACTATGTCTCTCTATCTGTTCTCCACATGCCCTGAGCACAATGTGTAGGCATAACAGCCTCCATTTTATTCAAGCAGAAGTCACCACATAAATACTAAGTACCTCATTCTGTACCTGTGGTACATCTCAGTTAATAAGAAATGAACTGGGAGACAATGAGAGGATGGCCATGTCCATCTGCCCAAGAGCGTCCATGTTTGTCATTACATACAGAAGAGTCCAGCATTATATTTAATCCCTGAACCATCTCTCAGTTCACAAGGACCTGAAATCCCAGGTAGATAAGGAGCCTAGGGCATTTCTTCTCTCACATCTCCCTAAAGTCTACTAGGGTAGGAATGCAGAGTGATGGATGAACTAGGGACAGTTATTACCTATTTCTAGTTCAGCCACTGCTGTCATGAAGTGGGAGGGTGTGTCTCTAGCTCTTTGTCAATAGGGCTATGGATGTACCAAGACTGCTTCTAGAAGGCAGATGGAAGAAAAGGATGAAATAAAGAATGGACAGGATTCCTTAAGGGGCTATTAAAGGCTTTAAACCATGAATTCAGCATAAAATTTCTCAAAAAGCTCGCCTAAGAAATGCCATAATAATAAAAGGATGCCCCTGGTCAAATTTTTCACTTTCAAAGTCTATAGTACAAAGATAATATGAACCAACTATTCCCAGATATACTCACAAATAAAGAATTGTCACTAATTAGTAGTGGGTTGTCAATGTTGGTGAACTCCCTGTGGAATTAAGAGCCAAATCACGGTTCAGTTACTGGCTGTAACAATCAGGAATTCAAGCCTTAATTGTCACTCAAAAGAACTAATACATCAAATGTAATCTGTCCTAATGCTTGAGACTAATACCTCTAATACTAAATAATGTATTTAATACCTGCTGCTAATAATATAATACCATGATCTGCAGGCCTATTCACGCACACACAGCCAAAAACATAAATGAAGACTGTTCAAATACTTGGTATCACAAATAATTCACATACAGTTCTTGGCTTCTTTTCACAAATATGAAAATAATCTTCACGTTGGGCAGAGCCGCCTTATGTGTAGATGGAATGCATTGCTAAACGATGTCCTGCCCCCAAATATCATTGGCAAAGTCTGTAATTTCATCATGTAAGTCTGTTCTCTTGCACAAGAGAGATCTTTTTTATACCATTATGTTTCATATGAAAATGAAAATGCCCTTAGGAGGAAATAAATCTTAGAAGGTAACCCACTAGCAAAAGAGAGGGTGCAATTTTTGGAGTTGGAAGGTTTTTAGAGGTCATTCAGTCAACTCATTTCTGATGTAAGGAAGAAGAGGTGAAAGAACTTGCCCAAGGTTGTATATGTTAGCAGAGCTGGGAATAGCACTGAACCTGCTTTTTTCTCTACCTCTCTCTCTAGTAAATGACATCTGGGTCTTGGGAGATGACAGGCACCCTGTGTGGGGCTTAGGAGTGTGAGGGTGGAGGAAAGGTGACTTTCCAGAAGAGGAGGACTACATAGAGGTGGGAATAGCTTCCCATCTTTCCCTGGGATTGGTTCTAGCAAAAGTTACCAGCTTCTCTAACAGGCAATAGAAAAAGACTGAAGTTTCTTCCGGGACAAGCTTTCAGCACAGCCTAGACACATTTCCATCCAGGTTGGATCACCTTACTGGACTCCTGATGACCCTATCAGCTAGATGTTTTTTATTTACAACATCCTGCCTCTAATTTATTGATGTTTTCTATAGATCACCAATCAGAGTTTGAATAGCTTTACAAATCTGTGTAACATCTTTCTTGTGAAGGCTAGAGGCATCTGGGTACCACCAATACCAAAGGGCTTAGGCAGTGCAGTCAGCATGTGAAGTGTATGACCGGAATCTAGGCCATGGCAGAGAAAGAGAATGAAGCAAGCTCTGCTGTGCACTGAGTTCTCACTCCTCCTAGCAGTAGAATGAGAATATTGACCAATGGATACAAAGCTATCTATGGCTGGAACTCCTGGCCTAGAAGGACAGGTGGAAAATTCAGATAGTGTGATTGACTGTAGACCCACACTTTTCTTCTTGTTCTGCCTTCAACCATCTCCACACCCATGAGCAAATCACTTCACTTCTCCCAATTTCTCCTCTGAGTATGAGGGAGTTGGATTTCCTACTCAGGTAGTGGGGTAGGAAATAGTACCTTCTGGTACTATCCTTTTAAAAGCAGTGTGACCCAGGAGACAACCCGAGAAGTCAGACAGATCTGGATTTGTATAGTGGCTCCACATTTATATTTAAGTGACCTTAATTCTTGACTTGTCCCCTTATCTGTAACCCAACTATTTCATGCCCACTTCCATGAGATTTTTCTTTTCTTTCTTTCTGAACACTCACCTCTCTGCTCTATAGACTTTTGCTCTATACTCTCCAATGTCCACAACACATGTATTATCTTCAGTTCTCCAAATATCAAGCCTGTTTCTTCTCTTTCTCATATCCTCCTTTTCTTTATTCATGTTTTAAGAGCTAGGCATTAGGCTCAAGTGCAGGGTATTGAAAACTCTTTGAAACATGCTTCCGGGCCATGGAGATTTGGACAATATAATGTGTGTGTGGGGGGGGGGGGGGGGAGTTGCATACACAAATCAGAGCGGTGCATTCTCTAGGAGAGATGTACAAAATTCTGATGATGCACAGAAAAGTCACTCCCTGGAAGAGACAATAACGACACTTACTGTGAATCTCCTAGAACTATGGGAGAAATACCCCCGGTGTCCAGATGTTTTACATCTCAATGGAGGGAAAGACCTAATATATAACATGTGTGTCCTTTTTAGAGAGCAGAAAAGTTCAAGGATGGCAGCAGAACCCTACTGAAGTCACACGTGTCTAGTTGGTGCCCTTATTTCTAACTCCTGAACCCCATGTCAGCACCAAGGCATTCAGTCTAAGGCATGCTCAAGGGAGCTGCCATGGGAGGTCTGTTTAGTAGCAGAGCTGCCTCACCCTATTGAGGGTACAATGGTCTCAAAAGAGTGATTCCTGACTTAAAGGGTGCATACATCTGCAGATTCTGATTCAACAGGTCTGGGTGGGGCCCCAGATTCTGCACGTCTAACAAGTTCCCAAGTGATGCTATTGCTGCTGGTACGTGGACCACATTTTCAGAAGTAAGTTTCTTAGGGAGTCTGCCTGTTATCTTCCTGCAGCATCAGCACTCTAAACCAGGAGCCTCCCAGGAGCACGGGGGCTGAGAAACAGAAAGGTTAATCATGTCTGGCTAGGAGGTGAGGACCTCATTTATGAAAATCTTGGTGCTCTACTGGCCTTTCATCTTTCAACCAGTTAGGAACCAGGTGACTGACCTCTATGTACTAGTAGGGTAAAAAAAAAAAAAAAAAAAAAAAAAAAAAAAAAAAAAAAACACAGAGAAGGGAGAAAAGAAAGGAAACAACCAAATCAAAATTCTGTGGGCTGAGAGCTAGCTTGCTTATGAATGCGTTTGCAGCACAGCAGTCCTACAGACCGGCTGAATCATGCTGATGGAGTAAAAGGTCTTTTTCCCTAAGCCTATCAGAGTAAATCTGTTCAGAAGTGGGAGAGGGAGTACCTGCCAGTCTGTGGAAACACACATCAGAGAAGACGATTAAATTTATACAGCAATGTGCAAGCACCCAGAGGCCCCAGACTTCAGACTGCACCCCCAGGCACCTCATCTAAGAAATAAAATGAATCACTTTTGTTTTCAGCTCTGTCCTCCTCCCCTTCAGCCTGTATGATTACTACTACCCTTGCATCATTAATAAAAATAGCCTCCAGAATTTATGGAGGGTCATTCTTCCAAGGATCTCGGAACTTGGAGGAATGAATCAATCAATGTTATTTATTGAGCATTTTCAGCCAGTAGATGTGAGGAATAAAGCAAACATGTATTTAGTAGGCACACTCTCTTAATTCAATTTTTTTGCAGATGACTAAAAAGTGAAACTTGAGTAGGGGAGAAGCTGTACAGCTAAGTGAAAACAGAAGCTGGACTTAGAATGCTTTATGCAGTCAGACTGCCTTGGTTCAAATCCCGTCTCTGTCATTTACACATTGTGAGAAACAAGATATGTCATCAAATCTTTTTCAGCCGCAGTCTGCACATCTGTGTAAGAGGGACAATAGCAGTGTGCATAGCATAGGATGTTGTGATGGTCAAATAAGGAAAGACATGTGAAGGACCTTGACAGGCTCACAGTACATGCTCAGTAAGTGTGGGTTGTTTTTAATGCATTAGATACTTTCTATGTTTGGGGAAAAGGAAAGGGAGGGGAAGGAAGGAGAAGCAAAGGAAAGCAAAGGAAAAGCAAAGAAATATCCATGTTATTCACTTGCTGAAGCAAACCTCTTCCTGGTAACAAAGAGACATTTATCGCCTGGGCCATTACAGAAGGGTCACTGGATAATATAATGGAAAAGGTCTTCAATTACAATATTGGCAGACTTAGATAAGCCATTCAAATGGATATTTTTATATAGACCCTCTATAAAAGCAGAGAATAAAATATTATAACATCACTCCTCACCAAAATGCCCCGTGGCTGGCTGGGACTTGTGGCCCAAGTACATTGTTTCTGATGATGTAACTTATTACTGTGATCGAGCCTGGAGTACCTAAGCCAATGGTTAGTTAATGTGTCCATTAGACTGTCTCTTTCCAATAGCGCATATTAAGTGCACTTTTAGCAAATTCCAGATTGCAGTCAATTCCTGGTTGAATTCTTTGATGGGGAGCCAGGGTGTAGTACTGCCATACATTTTTTATCAATAGATACAGACATGAGGGAGGCAGAGTTTTTATTCCAGTTGCTTGTATTGGAAGTATAGGACTTGGGTAGGCAGAAAGGTGGAGAAAATGTTCTAAAAAGAGCATATGTCTGGGCACATAGTCGAGGACATGATGATGGTTCAGCTTAATGTTCACATTCTAAATCTAGCCTTCTTCCTGGGTCAATGCCCTTCACTTTCTTTATTCCTTCTTTATCAAATAGCTTTATTAAGATTCATATACTATGAAGTTCACCCTTACTTTAAAGTGTACAATTCAGTCATTTTTATTCAAAAGGGTGTGCATCGATCACCACTATCTAATTCCAGAACATTTACATCTCCCAAGAAAGAAACCCTATGCCCATTAGCAATCTCTCTGCATTCCTCCCTAACTCCCAGTCCTTGGCAACTGCTAATCTATTTGATGTCTCTATGGAGAGGCCTATTTTGAACCTTTTATATAAGTGTGATCATACAATATATATGACGCATAAACATCATATGATTTACAAATACAAATATTTTCTCCCACTATGTGGATTTCCTTTTTTTCACTTACTTGATAGTGTCTTTTTAAGCATAACAGTTTAAATTTTTGATCAAGTCTATTTTTTTCTTTTGCTGCTTACTTTTGGTGTCCTATCTACACATCTCCTGCCTAAACTAACATCACTTAGATTCATGCCTATGTTATTTTCTAAGAAGGAAATATTTTAGAAACGCAAAAGAAAGAAACTTTAAGAAGAAAGTTTAAAGAAGAGTTTTTAAAAAGGTTTAAGAGTCCCAGCTTTTACATTTAGGCCTCTGATACATTTTGAGTTAAATTTTGTGCATGGCGTGAGACAGGGGTCCAACTTCATTCTTTTGCATGTGGATATCCAGTTGTTCCAGTACATTGGTTGAAAAGACTTTTCTTCCCCCAAGGAATTGTCTTGGCACATGTATCAAAAACTAATTGACCATAATTGTATGGCTTGATATCTGTACTCTCATTTTGACTTGATGTATCCATATGTCTCTCATTATGACAATACCTCTCTGTATTTTTCACTTAGCTTTGTAATAAGTTTTAAAATCAGGAAATATATATCTTCCAACTTTTTTTTCCTTATCAAGATGTTATGGCTATTCTGGGCCTCTTGTATTTGCATATGAATATAAAGTTCAGCTTGCCATTTTCTGCACACAAAAAGACATCTGGGACTTGATAGGGATTGTGTTGAATCTGTACATCAATTTGGGGAGTACTGCCATCATAATCATGTCTTTTGATCCATCAACATGGAACATCTTTCCATTCAAATCTTTAATTTCTTTTAATGGTATTTTGTAGTTTTTGGCCTTAAAAGTCTCACACTACTTTTGCTAAATTCATTTATAAGTATTTTATTATTTTTATGTTATTATAAATGGAATTATTTCCTTAATTTCATATTTTGGATTGTTCACTGTTTGTGCATACATACAATAGTTAAACTTGCTTTATTATTTCTAACAGATATTGTTTTTTGGTGTGGATTCCTTAGAACATTTTTTATACAAGAGCAACTCATCTTCAAATAGTTTTACTATTCCCTTTATTCTTTTTTAAAAATATATTTTATTGATTTTTTATAGAGAGGAAAGGAGAGGGAGAGAGAGGGATAGAGAGCTAGAAACATTGATGAGAGAGAAACATTGGCCAGCTGCCTCCTACACACCCCCTACCGGGGATGTGCCGGCAACCAATATGCATGCCCTTGACCAGATCAAACCTGGGACCTTTCAGTCCGCAGGCCGGCGCTCTATCTACTGAGCCAAACCGGTTTTGGCCCCTTTATTCTTAATGATTCAACTTCAGTCAGTATTTTCTTGCTCTTGCTGCCTCTAGTGGGGCCAGGAGGACTTTCCCTTTATGCTCTGACCAGGAGCACTTGAGAAAATTATTTTACTATGGAGTCAGGTTGGCCTACAGAAAAATATATCTCGCCGAAACCGGTTTGGCTCAGTGGTAGAGCGTCGGTCTGCAGACTGAAAGGTCCCAGGTTAGATTCCGGTCAAGGGCATGTACCTGAGTTGCGGGCACATCCCCATTAGGGCGTGTGCAAGAGGCAGCTGGTCAATGTTTCTCTCTCATTGACGTTTCTAGCTCTCTATATCTCTTCCTTCCTCTCCGTAAAAAAAAATCAATAAAATATATTTTTTTTTTAAAAGGATAAGCAAAATAAAGATGGCCATGAAAGTGATACAGATTTAAAATATCTATATCTATATCTATATCTATATCTATCTATCTATCATCTATCTATCTATCTATCTATCTATCTATCTATCTAGCATGATCTGTGGGTACACAGAAGCATCTAGAAGCTGAAATGATGAAAAGGTAAGAATAATCAATAATCCAGGGTGTTTGTTCATAGCCCATCTCCAAAGTTCTTAGCTGATTCCAAGGACCAACAGCAGCTGTAACTGAATTATCCTTAACAAATTAGTTCACACTCTCATTGGGCTGGCACCAGAGTGGCCAATGGCAGATATTGTTTTTTTTCACCAATTGGCCAAGTCATTCTGCCTATATCCAATACTAGTTGTTCAGTAGCTCTTCCATGATAGGTGTTTTCTGCTGAGAATTAACATACAGTTTGAAAATCTTCATGCTTCCACTTCCATAGATCCATCCTCATGTCTTTTTACCAGATCTCATTGTCTCTAATCTGCCAATATTTCTCCTTCTAGGGCCTTGACCAACCAATCATGGCATTCACCACTGCCCATGATTTCATTCATATATATATATATATATATATATATATATATATATATATATATATTTTTTTTTTTTTTTTTTTTTTTTTTTTTTACCTGAAGCCACTTCTCTTTCTACACAAAACGAATGCACTTAACATCAAAACTCTGTCTGCTGGGAGAATTTCCCCTCATCATTGTCTATTAAAGCCACATTATAAATGAACCCAGGACTTTTTATTTCTCTCTTATCTGGCCATAAAGGTCTTCTCATTAAGCCCCCAATGTGAGCTGTGGGGGATACACTAGTGCAGGATGGATGGATAGCTTGGGGGTTCTGGGCCACCTACTTGGTTATCTTATGCATTTTTCCCTCTTCTGCTTGTTCCAACCTTCAATATACCATATCCATCTTAGAATGTAGGACTGATCCTGCCTTATGACTTGGTGGCTTTGATCAAACCCAGCTCATGATGGATACTGTACTAAAAAAATCCCTTGGTATCTCATGGTCAGAAGTTCTGTATTTGCCAGAGTCAAGTAGCACATCAGTAACTGATTTTTGATGGTGACAGTCCTCTATTGTAGATTGCTTTTTGATGGTGACAATCCTCTATTGTATATTGCAGGGACTTACTCCAGAACCCCAGAGGTTTACTTTGTGATTCGGTCTTCCATAAACTCGACACATTATCTTCTCCCACCATAGATACCTCTAGTACCATATAGGTCTCCTGAGTCATATGGCTCAAATGCCAAGACCACTTTACCATAGCCTGCTCTTTCCTGCTCTTAGCATAACTTAAAGCTCAGAGCCTTCAGAGTTGTCCAGCAAATGAAACAGAGCAATATCCCCAAATACAGAATATGCTGCCTCCAAAACCTTTAAAGGCTATTAAGATTTATGCTTTCTTAGTAGTGGGAGGTATGAGACAACACTTTATTGTTTAATTTGGGTGGAATGTTCTGGCTTTCTCCAGTAACTCTGGATGACTAAAAAGTTCATTAATAAGCTGGTGCTCTGAATCTTTCATCTCCATTCTTTGGAGCTCTTGTGTTTTGCCAAAGGTACAAAAATACTTGCCACTTATTGCTCATTTGGGCTGATAAGCATGGCATTGTCAATATAATGGGTCAATGTGATGTTCTGTGGAATATCAGACATTCCATATTCCCCCTAGCAATATTATGACAGAGGGTCCAATTGTTACCATAATCTAAGATGAGACCATAATTGTGTACTCTTGTCCATCTCACATGAATATGAACTGCTTCTGATCCTTTTTTCTTATAGGGATAGAAAAGGCGGCACTCACCAAATTAATCAGTGGTTATTTAATTAATCTAGAGGTCCGGTGCACAAAATTCATGCATGGTGGAGGGGAATCCCTCAGTCCTGCCTGCACCCTCTCTAATCCAGGACTCCCTGGGGGATGTCCGACTGTCTCTCACAATCCGGGACCACTGGCTTCTAACCGCTCTCACCTGCCTGCCTGCTTGATCATCCCTAACCCCTCTGCCTGCCTGCCTGAGTGCCTCTAACTGCTCCCTTGCTGGCCTGATTGCCCCTAACTGCCTCTACCTAACCCCAAACCTGGGACCCACGATTACCTCCTAGAGCTACTCGCAGGTACCTGAGACCCAGGCTTCCCTCCCTGTGGTCGGCCACACGTACCCCTCAAGTTCTGCCCATCTTGATCCAATACTCCATGGTTCAGTCCCGAACTTATGTTACCAACTACTACTACAGGTATACATTAGCCACACCTGTAGCTCCTGTGGCATATACTCTCTCTCCTTCCACAAAAGGCTCAGCATGTCTACCTCTAGTCTGGTTGTACTGTGATTCCATCTTCCTTACCCTGCTGTTTGGGGAGTTTGGGGTAATCCTGAAGCAGGCAGGCATTATCTTGCAAAGTGCATGCCTTATTTGAGACTTCTGCATCATCTTTAAATCAGGAGAGGGCTACTCTCTTCTAAAAGGCAGAGTGTGGAGGGGACTTCTGGAGCCATCAATTTAAGGTACTTAACTGCATCTACTCAGACATTCCAGGTTTCAGCATCTGCCTCCTTCCCTGTTTGAGCCCTGTACTTGGCGTAGGAGACTTACTGAGACTGAGAAGTCAGTCCTCCCTGAAGATTTAAATGATTCAGTCCCAAGCCTGGTATCCTGGCTGTAGGAGATTAGGGTTTCCTTAAATGCTGCGAAGAGGCCCCTCTAGCTTTCTTGTATTGCCTTGAAATGGTGATTTATCATCTGAGCCTGTCATTATTTGTCTTTCAAAAATCAATGATGCTCAGCAACAGACACCTAATTCCATGGTCCTTATAATTATAAATTCCCTTGTCTCTCTCAATCATGAAGAATACTACACCAGGCCTTGTACCTCCTTCTATGGACATCCCATATTTGTCTACCACTGGTGTAAGTTTTAACAACTGCCCAGGGAATTCCTCATTTAACTTCACTGTTGCCGCATTTCAGGGGCTCACTCCACCTACTACGTATTAAGAAGTTTGCACTGCCAGTCAATGACTGACTCATCTCCAAAACCCCATTTTGGAAGTCAGCTTCTTCAAACCATGTTTTGTATCAATTAATCCTTTGATGAGAAGTTGCATGTTGAAGGTTGATTGGGGAGAGTTTTTGAGATGATACACATATAAGGACGTGAAGAAAGCAAGTTTGGGCAGAAAAGAAGCTGAATTGCAATGAAGCTCTGGCTAAGACCTAATTATGCAGGGGTTCTGGAGCCTAACTGACTTTTCAGAGTTGTCACAAACTTTGAGCGAGAGAGCTCAAAGTTTAAATCTCCAAGTGTGAAATCATTGGCCAAAGCTACCTGGCTAGAGTTATGCATGGGAAGAGCCATAACTTCGGATATGGCATTTCCTAGTGAGAGGCATAGCTTGGAACTATAAGCAGTAAATGGTTGATATTCCAAGAAGCGAGGAGATGTATGTCAACTCTGAAGAGGGGAGGAGAGGATCCCTGTGGCACACGACAACATCTGTTATAATGACCTCTATTATGGCCACACCAGGACCATCGCCTATCTTTCACAGTGTCTCACCAAACTGGAATTTCCATATCTTTACTGATAACGTTTACTCTGGGCATTCAGGGTTGCTCCTGAAATCAAAGGAAAATATTCTTCCATACCATACCACCACAAATGATCCACTGAGCGTGGCTGGCACGTCGGGGTCATGGGTGACAGCCTGCTACCAATGAGTGCTGGAAGTCTGGCCCAGCTCTCTACTCTGTGGGAACTCTGGTTTGTATCACATTGTCTTTCTTTAACTCAGAAACTAATAAAATAGGTCTGGAATATAAGAGAGAGAAAATTTAGTTTGGCATTACAATTTCTTGACTATGACATTGTCCTGGTTAATAATCACCTTGAAACTCCAGGGCATCACCTTCTAATTAATGTTGTCCTTCTCCTGCAGTCTCCTGACTCTCAAATCTCCAGGGTCAAGTGAGAGCCCAAAACTATCTTAGTTTCATCACACACACACACACACACACACACGAGAGAGAGAGAGAGAGAGAGAGAGAGAGAGAGAGAGAGAGAGAGGAAGAGAGAGGGAGAGATTGAGAGGCAAAAACCAACTGATAGTCACCAAACCTTTTCCCTTTTTCTCCTTGACACAGTTAGTCAGTATTTGCCATCCTCTTGAAGTTAAGTGCCTGAACAAA